CATTCATCCTGCCCATACTTCCTTAGCTTGCCTGCGATAATGTTGCAGGAGACTATATCAAAAGCCTTGCTAAAAATCAAGGTATGCCATATCCACTGGTCTCCCTCCATCCAGAGCCAGGCATCTCATCATAGAAGGCAATCAGGTTGGTCAGGCATGACTTGCCCTTGGTGAATCCATGCTGACTGTTCCTAATCAACTTCTCCTCCAAGTGCTTAGAAATGGATTCCTTGGGGATCTGCTCCATGATTTTTCCAGGGACTGAGGTGAGGCTGACTGGTCTGTAGTTCCCTAGATCCTTCTTTTTCCCTTTCTTAAATATGGTCACTATGTTTGCCCTTTTCCAACCATATGGGACCTCTCCCGATTGCCATGAGTTTTCAAAGATGATGGCCAGTGGTTCTGCAATCACATCAGCCAACTCCCTCAGCATTCCTGGGTGCATCCCATCCGGCCCCATGGACTTGTATATGTCCATCTTTTCTAAATGGTCCCTAACCTGTTCTTATGCCACTGTTAACTGCTCACCTCCTCCCCAAACTGTGCTGCCCAGTGCAGTAGCATGTGCGCTGACCTTGCCTGTGAAGACCGAAGCAAAAGAGGCACTGAGCACTTCAGCTGTTTCTGCATCCTGTCACAAGGTTGCTTCCCCCATTCAGTAAGGGACCCAAGCACTTTCCCTGATCCTCCTCTTGCTACCAACATACATGTAGAAATCCTTCTGGTTACCCTTCACATCCCTTACTACCTGAAACTTCAAATGCATACGTGTCCCAGCAACACGCTCCTGGCTCCTTGGGGGTTCAGGCTGTGAATTGCCACAGAAGCAATGCAAAGAGTTAACAATTCCTGTGGAACTTCAGTGCTGGCAGCTCCCACTGTTCAAACCTACAATTCACAAGTGTCAGGTGTAGAATCAAAGCCTTGAGTCCCTGTGGCTCCAAACAAGATCTTCTGAGTGGCACTCACAGCATCAGGAGAAGACAGCATTGCTAATTCTGCCTGCCGGAACTATTGTGTGTTGAGCACGAGAAACAAGAAATTCTTCAGTCAAAGGGAACAGAACAAACCCAGCAGGCTGAAGGTCACAGGACCCACCTAACTCTCCTGGGCTCCTCAGTCTTATCCTGGCAGAGGCTGGGTAAAAATCAGCACTTAATCAGCTTCAAGGAAGCACTAATGCACTTTAACTGTGCACGCTGAAGCCAGTTTGCTTGTGGAAAGCTGCCAGAGCATCCCCCAGTAAAGGAGATCCCTGTGCTGTAAAGCCCAGGTATTCTCCAGGAGAGCAGGGGTTCTGCTCCATTGGCCTTGCAGGAGACAGGAAAGACTCTCAGCCCTTGGAAATGCAAGACAGAGGGAAGAAATCCAGTGCATGCCTTCTTCAGCAGAGCTCAAAGCCTGCTGCATGTAAAAGTAGGTGCGAAGGTTCTCCACACTCCAGTGCAAACTCCATATCCCAGAACACACAGCATGGCAATGCAAGGTGCCTCTGGGGTCAAGTCCAGTTCTCTGCAAGAGAAGGCACCAGGTCAGACAATCTCTTCCACACCTGAGTTCCACCTGGGAAGCATTTAGGTTTCTTGCCCCTCTGCTCCCACCAGAAGACGACTAAAGGACATTACTCCTCGGACTGCTGGAACCTTCCTTTACTTGCTAGCCCACTTTCATTGGGGGCCAGTTACTCTTACACCAGGACTGCCCTTCAGCTTAAATAGGACTTTTCTCTCCCCACTATTTACCTCCATCTCCTTCTGAAGGCTCTTAGCTTAGCAAAGTGAAAGCTGAGGTTGTCTAGGATAGACTCTCCATTCCCCTGATCCTCACAGCAGCCCCTCTCTGCATCAGTCCACTGTGAATTCATCTTGCCTGCACACGTGACCCCAAGCTGTACTCCAGCTGCGGCCTCACCAGTGCCTTGTACAATGGCATTAAGGCTTCCTTGTATCTACTGCAGACAACTTAAATTCCACCCTACGACGTGTGTGACTTTTGCAGATCCGTATCACATTGGTAGCTTGTGCTCACCCTGAATGACCAGCACACTCAGTTGTCTCCTCCATAAACAGATGAGTCCCACAGCTGACAAAAGAAGTTATTTGCATTATCCTGCCACACCTTCACTTTTCTCCTTCTCCAGGATCTAGAAAACTTTTCCTCAGCTCTGCAAAGAACAGGGAGTCTGCGGAACTCACCAGGGCAGAAGCAGGAGAGGTCCTGTAAAAAAGTGCATCCATCCCTGGCATTCTGTGGCTATTAAGGTTTCCATGGCCTGTGCATGTGAGCAGCATATATGCAACACAGAAAGCTCCATGGGCACAGATACATCAGTGATACCAACTTCACTAAAAGCATTACTTTAAAAATTAAAATATTGGGAATCATGGCAATGATCATCTACACCCAAAAAGGCCATCCCTTTGGTCAATAACAATGACATGAAACCGTGCATAGTTGACAACCTTGACTCTAACCCACACCCACTTTATAACTCTTAGTATATAAACGACTGCTGTGTTTTTTTAACTAGATACAAGGATGATGCTATATCTACCTTCGTTGTTATTTCAGTGCTCAGGTTATTTATCATCCTATTTTAATTATGGAGTTGGTATCGAGCTACAGACATGCACATAGTTCAGGTATGGGTATTTTTATTTTATTCAGGTTGCTTTCCCTAATATATTAGAGAAAGCAACCTGAACTGGAAGCTGAAGTCTTCTGAATGAGCCCACTGCATTCATTATTTTACCCAGATCCACAGGGCTAAGAAGTTCTTTCCCAAGTGACAGAATGACCACATACTTTGGAACAAAGATGTCACCAGGGGTATAACTAATGATGCTGACAAACCAGGCAGTCTGCAGATCCCACCTCACCTTACTGAGCTTCTCCCCATCTGTGTGTGGAATGAGGGTTTTCAGAGACTGGAAGCCGGCATTGATGCTCTGCATCCGCCTTCGCTCGTTGCTGTTGGCTATCTCTCTGCGTATCCGTCGCTCCTGGTCCCGCTGGGTCTCTGGAGTCAATGGGATGTTAGCCAGGCTGCAAGAGAAATCCACAGCAGGTTAGAAAAGAGCAATAACCAATGCCCAAGACCCTATCTCCCACTCCTCACTGCAGAGGGCACCACTTTAACATACTGATAGGATACTGGGGAGGGAATTCTTCCCAGCCACCACCTACTTTACAAGGACTGGATTAGGAGCCAAAGTTCAGGGAGCTGTACTTTCTGACAAGGACCAATGGCTGTTCCTGCATTTCCCCTTCTACACTGCAGAACAAGAGCCCTTATGCCAGACACTGATCATATCCTAAAAGTACACCTGGAGTCAGGAGGGTGAAGGAGTCATTTCCATGCTGGTTTCTGGCAATTAAGAGGAGCTAGGTGAATACATCTAGAACTCACTTCCTATTCCCTGCCCAAGGTATTTCAGTTCAGTAAGTGAATGTATGTAAATCACAAGTTCAAACTGCTGAGCTTCACCGACAATAAGAAAACTAGCTACTTTCAGCAACAGTGATGTGGACTGGAAGCCAAAACAAACTGAAATAAGCCTTCATCCCAGCATGCTCTGGAACCCCAGCCACTTAAAGGGGAGAGAAGCTAAGCTTGGAAGGACTTCATTGGAATCTAGGATGCTGAAGAAGGTGGTAATTCAGTAGGTGGACCTTTTGCCAATGGAAGTGCAAACAAAAAACCCCAATGCCCCAGGAAAGGGAGAAGAACCCTGGGCATTTTCAGAAGAGACATTAAATTAAGGGCTTTTCCACCACAGAGCCCAGGTATGCCTTGTAAGCAGAGAGGACAGCCCCAGTCCCTTGGCAGATTTCTGGCTTGGGAATCATGTTAAGACTCCGAGTCAATTTTAAGTGACTACAGTAGCCTTGACTTCCTGTGGAGTCTCCCACATGCACTACCGCCTAGTCACGAAGCAGTCGGATCAACCCCTCTGGAGACAAATGGGAAGAAACAGGATGTGTTCTCCTCTCTGCTACAGTGGAGAGAGCGGCACTTACCATGTGCTTGGCTGGTACCCCACTGCTTCTATCCCCCAGGTAGATAGGAACAGTAGCAAGGAGAGGGGCTGGGCAGCAAGAAGGCTGGATTGAGGATTAAGCAAGTTGTTTGGGCAGCAGTGAGTGGCTTGGGCTCCTTACATTCCCTCCCAAGTTCTCCACTGCACAAGAAAGACTCAGCAGGCATCTAAGCTGAGGTCCCTGCAGGGCTGGCCTGTGTGTGTGGCCCTGGTAGGATCAGATGAGAGTCTCCCTCCCCCTCCTGCTGATAGCTTCCAGATGACAGCTCCCAGAGACAGCCCCCACCCCACCCAAAGCCACAGCTCCCGCCTGCTTCCTGCTGCCTCCTCTGTGAGTTCTGTTCCCAAATTATCTGGCAGATTTTGCCAGGAAAACACCTCCCAAACCAAATGCCACCATGCAGCTACATGGAGGTAGGAAGGAATATTAGGATCAAAAATTGCAGGGGAAGAGGAAGGGAGTCTGGGACTGACCACGACCACCAAGTGTGTTTTAAAGGGCATCAAGCCCTCTATATTCTCAAGGCAGCTCAAACATTTTTACATACACTCTATTTTCCTAGTCGGGACAGGTCTAGCAGAGGGGGTGCTCACAGCTTCAGCATGGAGAAGAGAGCAGGATCACTGAATCCTAATGCAGAATGTACTTCATTATAGCCATGGAACAAAGAGGAAGTTAAACCACACAAGTAGGTAAAGCCGTATGTATATAAATGCCCCCAGATCTGTGGGGGCCCCCAGCTAGTGCCACGCCAGTAGCCCCACCTTCATAAAGGATCCTACACCAAAACCAGTAGACGTGATTCTTCTCAATAGCAGCAACACAGGGGCTGAAAATCATGTTGCTCCAAGGGCCAGGCCTTGGAATAGCAAGAACTGCTTTAAGAGAGACTGGCAGCAATTTTAAAGATCCGATATGTAACAAGAATGCTAGAAGTTAAGGCTTAGGAACCCAAATCTTTAATAACAAGGTTGGTTTCAAGCCCTGAATTCTCAAGCGATAGCATACCTTTTAAAACAAACCCACAGACCACATCTTTCTGATTATCATCTTGCCTTTCTTTGGTTTTCTCAGCATGATTTGAGAAGTCACTAAGTTAAGGATGAGAACTAGAAAAATCAGCTTTCTAAGGGGCATAGAGTCAACCATAGTCCAGTGGTGCCCAAACTTCTGGCCTTGCAGGTTGGACAAGTGGCATGGGACCAGTCCACAGGCTGGATGCCAAGCACAGCCAGTCTACAGGTGCACTTGGGCATGCTGGCCCAGTCCCATATGCCAGATCTGGCTGCACATGCCTACTCTACACCTTGCATGGCCCATCTCAGGCACCGAATCCAGCCATGTGCCTGCTTGACCTTACACACCCGAGCCTGTACGCCAATCCAGCCATGTTCCAGAGTGACCCCATATGCTGACCTCATTGCAAATTAGCACAATCTAGCGCGCAGGGCTGCATCAGCCAGCCCATGGGGCTCCCCGTGGCTCCAGAAATATTGAGAGCAGGGGAACAGCAATTAACATTACCACTTCCCACCCCCCCACACACACACAATTTTCCACACCCATTGGCCAGATGACGCGGCTTCACAGGCCAGAGATTGAGCATCACCGATACAGTTTACATCCATTATTAGGGGAATGATAACTGAAACTTCATGAGAATTCAAGCTTAAAAAAAGGCTAGAAATCAAGTACAGTGAAATCAGCACCTTCAGCCACCTGCTGTCCACTGTCCCCCATGTTAGAAGTCAGGGAAATTTCAGTCTCAGATTCCTCACTAACTTACAGACAGCCACTTTCTTCTACATTAACTACCCTGAAGGGTTTTGCCATCACTAGACCTGGCCAGCTGCACAACAAGAATTGTAATCAGCTGGTAAAAGCAGCCAGAGAAGAAAAATGCTGCAGGTGTTTAGAGATTTTGAGATGGAGCGAGCTGTAGAAAAGCAAAGCATTGGAAGCTGGGGTCTGTTCCTTAGTGTGAAGAAAGATCATGAAGGAAGTTTGATTGTGAAATGACAAACAGATTTATAGTCTATTTGCCCACTCACATGTGTGCTACACTCACCGAGATGCCAGAGGTCTGAGCAGGTGATCCCAGCTGCCAGGTGTGGCACCACTCCTGGGCACACCAGGCCAGCAAGTTCCCCCTCCTTACAAGGTTCAAAGTCTGAAGATCTTTATTTGTGGGGAGGGGGAATTTTCCCAGTAATATCAAGCCAGGGAGGAAGTCACTGGCTGATTTTAGAGCAGCACCTCACCTGTTCACCATTATCACCGGCTAGGTAACGTGACAGAAGGAAGAAGAGCCCCTGGCCAACAGCTCAGTTTTCTTTGATAACACATGCACTGAGAAGCAGAAAACTTTCAGAGCCAGAGCCCAAGTGCTCACCCAGCCTGCAAGCCAGGAGTGAGTCCAACACACAGGGGTCACCATGGGAGAGTGCAGACCTTCACATGATGTTTTATCCTGTGGAGGAGCTGATGGGCACGTTGTCTACATGTCCTCTGGTGTTCTCTACTGACTCCAGGGACTGTTTTATTTTTCTGTTTGCCCCAAAGAGACAGCCAGCACTTGTCCTAGAGCAAACACAATCTTACTCCATTTTGGCTTGTGCAATGGATTTTTAAAATAAAGGTTTTGTCTTCACTGCTAAACATACAAAGCTTCATACCTTAGAGTACACGACATATCAGCTCTCCCACAGTGAACAGGATCCTTTCATTCTGCTAAGAGGCCAGCTCATCATGGATGACTCACAATCCTCACCTGAGCTTGCCCTTAGCAAGTTCATCTCATAGGAGAATGAAAGTCCTCTGTCTTCTCTATGCACCTGTCCTGGGAGAGCTGGCCTGCTGGTTACCAAAGATCAGCTTTATTGTTTTAAGCAGTGAAGACAATTGCTGAATCCACCAAGTCCCACCTTCATCTTTTCTTGTGCAAACCTTGCAAAAATAACTGGAGAATTTTGTTTCACTCATAGTGGGTTGTCGGGCAGTTCCTCCAGTCAAGAGGGTAATGGGCTAGAAGGAAGCAACCCAGGTTGACTGTCAGAACCCAAGCTGAATTTGCAAGCCTGCTAGTAGGACAAATTGCATGCAGTTAAACAAGCTTGTTTCAAAGCTGCTGAGATGCATCAAACAGAGCCTGACAATGTTATCGGTCACAGGAATTTTTCAGTGGACACATAATGGAACATACCCGACAAAAAACCAAGTGCACATGGGATCACATGAGAAAGCATGAGCGAGAAACAGAGGACAGAGGCTCACTCTTTGCCTAGCCTGAAGGGAACAGTACCTCTCAAGGTGAGCACCATCTTGCCAACTGATGGGCACCAGAAGCAGGCAAGCTGGCTGCACGACATGTAGTACAACTTCAGTGCTGTTGTGGAGAAAGCAATAGTAAGAGCTGCCTAAAGCTAGTTACATTTATCTAGGAGCTCTAGCCATCTATTCCCACATGACAAGTCTGAACCATCTTGCTTTCTTTCAAAAAAACTAAAGCAGTGGTCCTTAACCATTTTTTGACCCAAGAAACCCCTTGGAAAATGCCAGCTCTTAGCTCCACTCCTCTTTCAACTAATGAAAAACTACTGAGCAACTGTTCTGTTGCAAAGAACTCAGAAAGACCACAGCAGGTCAGGATGGTTTTGACTCTGTGAATTCCTACATGAAATCTTTGTATTTATCTTGCAAATCATGTGTAGGTGTTTGCACACCTAACAGAGCTAATATTGTGCAACACCCTGACAAGGATCTTACAGTGGCCTGGCTGAAAATCACTGGATTAAGGATAAGGAGTCAAAGATGCCCTGGATGCACTCACCCAGGATCACCTTCTCAGTATGGACACAGACTGCGCAAAATTTGTTCCTTAGAGTGGTTATTTACAGCATGATAGAACTCTTCCCTTTAACCCTGCCCTTTGTGGCTTTTATTTTAGGAGGGGAAGGGGAGTGTTGGAGAGAGAGGGGCTGTCCTGAGGTCACTCATTCTTTGCC